AATTCCCAAAAGGCGAAAGAGAATTTGCGACGGCCAAAAGAGAATTTGCCACCACCTCTCGAGGTGGTAGCAAAATGCCCGTCCCCGCGGCCCCCCAGGCTGCTGACAAATGCTATCCGGTTTGCAATTTTGGTGGTCGGAAAACCGTAGTGTGACTCTAACAGCATAGCAGATTTTGCTATTTAGCAAAAAGAAACGCTAGTGTGAGTATGCCCTCACACGGGGAGTCGGGGACCTATAATCCCAAAATCCCAAAAAAAAGGGGAAAATGCCGTTCACACAGATCTACCAAATTCGCAAATGTACTATTCCAGTGCCCATTTGTCAGCGGCCTGGGAAGCCGCGGGGCAAGGGATTTTGCGGTCACCTGCCCTTTTTGTTTTTTGCATTTTCTTCAAAAATTGGCAAAATATCGTTCACAGAAGTCCTTGCACAATTTGTGGATGGCGCCGTGTGACCAGCCAAGTACCAAATCCCCATTTGTGGATGCTATGCAGGGGGCATCCTAACGGACAACTGGGGGTAGCTGACACAGGACGACACTGGCAAGAGTTGGAGTGAGTCGCGTTGCTCTGTAACCTAGCAGTTAGGGGGCGCGAGGCCTGGATGAGTTTGTCAGAGAATAAGTAAGTTTTGGTGAGCTTTGTTATGATCTGTTGGAAATCCCTTAGATATTTGAGTGTTTAGAAAACTGCTGTGGATTTCACGAGGTGTTTAGCAAATGTAGTCTTCTCATCATCTGTCACGAAGAAGAAAAAAGGGAGGCTAGAATTGTTGATATAGCACAGTCTTTTTCATACTAATCATCATTATCACCATCATCATCATCATCATCATTATCATCACTAATCATCATTATCACCATCATTGGAACTACTATCTCATAGATTTCATAGAATCTGTAGAAGTTCATCATCATCATCATCATCATTAGCATCATCATCATCATCAGATGAGGGACGCTGAGCCCGGTTCTCAGCACGTTTGGTTCGGTCACTCCGGGTAGACTGTGAGGACGCCGGCCTGAATCTTCCTTTTGATAACATCAGCCTTGGGCACTGGGTCGTTTAAATTTAAAAAAAAAAAAAAAAAAAAAAAAAAAGTGCAGCAAC